AGACTGGAGAAAGATAAAACACAATCCTTTAATATTTTATGGGAAAAGAAATTAGTTGTAGCTCATAGGATGAAGTGTGTCCTTCTTACAGTCTGACAACTTACAAGGTAATTCCCCCCAAATGCCCAGAGTTCAACATCAATTCAGCCACCCCCACCCCCATGTTGGAGATTGAGGCAAGACAGCATATACTGATTCCGCACTATTTTTTCATTTGTGTGTGTGTATGTCTGTATGTGTGTATGCCATATGCATGCAGGTGCCAGCAGAGGCCAGAAGAGGGTATCGGCCCTCCTGGACCTGGAGTTACAGGCAGTTGTGAGCTTCCTGACATGGGTGCAGGGAACTGAATCCGGGCCCTCTGTAAGTACAAGTGCTTTGAACCACTAAACCATCTCTCTGGATCTTACACTTACTTAAAAGTGTGATATTCTAGTCATCATGGATTTCGGGCATTCATTTTATATCTAAAAGTACTATATTAGCTATTAACTACTGAGAATTTGTTACATACTCTTAAATTTTATCCTTCAAGTGTCTACTCACTTTACCTTTGGGTATACTTAGTCACCTCCTAGAAGCTCAAATTACTTCATCTGTAAAACTAATAATCTAAAGGGTTTAAGTGGCACATACCTGGAATTCAAGCCCTTCAGAGGCTGAGGCACTGTGAGTTTGAGTCCAGCCTGAGTTACACAGCAAAGACCCTCTCTCACCCAGCCTACAAAATGACAACCCAACCAATATTCCGTATGATATAAAATTAGATCATAATTAAGAGTAATACAGAGAAGACTGAATGGGACTGTACATGTATTTGTTCGCTGTAAATGTTAATACATTTGCAAAGCTCTATGACTGCAAGACAATTATTACAGGAAGCTTTATAGTTAGAGATGTTTACATCTTATGTCAAGTTTAAGTCCCATGCTTGATCACAGAAATTGAATCAGAGGCCTTAAAAGAATATTCAAAATTTGAGCCACCCACCCCTGGCAAACCTTATTTAAATGAAGAAAAAGGCACACAGTTGCAGCCCAAGCAATCAATTCCTTTCCAGCTTTTATAATTAATCTTCATTTGTAAATTCAGTTTGTTCTTAGATTTTTCACTTTACAGTTTCTAAAACATTCAATTCACTCAAAATGAACAATTAATTTAGGAAGAAGGTCTTTAATGTTTTCTCCTTTAAAAAATGACAGCTCAGAAAACATAGGCAAAAACATGTAAATATGAAAATGTTTTTGGGAAAGTTGAGGTTGTGTAAACCTTTTGAGGTAGGGGGATCTTCTGGGCTGAAGGAAGGTGAGATGCCTCCTGCTCTAGTGAGCTAATGCTTGGTCCCAAGCTGGTTAGAATGCAGTGCTAATTGCATTTTTTGTTGTTGTTGTTGTTTTTTAATCATTATTTTTTTAATTTTTTTTTTCATACAGAAGAATAAAACACCTCCTCTGAAATCGTCCTCTTAGGATCTTACGTCAATGATTCACATCTTCAACAAGACCTTCCACACTCCACAAGCCTGAACTTCAGATGCGCGGGAAGAACTCACCCTTCCTTCCGCTGGAGGGCAGGTTAGGATAGGGTGGTAGAACTGCGAAGATCCAGTTAAGGCTTTCTGAGGGGAGGAAACCAGCGAGATGAGAACTTGGGTGGCTGAACTCAGGCTTGTCCATTCTGACTGAGTCATTAAACAACTTTCTAGTGTCATTTGAAGAACTTATAACAGAATCAATTGATTTTTCATCCTATGCTTTATTAGTTGTGATTTAGGAGAGAATGGCCCTGTTTACACAGCTGTAACATGTCAGGACCTGTAGTACATTATTGGCTTGAGGCCTCTGAGTTGCAGTCCATTCTCAGCAGAATCAATCTGAACTTGAAAACATTCCCTCTAAGGAAACATGTACACATCTACTCGCACAGAGCATGCCTCACACAACTGAAAATAGTATTCAGTCGAGGTAAGCTGCAAGTTCACAGTCCCCAAATCAGCCCCAACTTGTCGTTGCACTCAGCATGTACATGATGGGAGCAGAGGGTTACAAATGCCAGTTAACTAGAAACCCAGGGTCAGTGAATGTGATACTCTTTGCTGCTAGTCAGATCTCAGACTCTGCAAGTGGGAGTTGCTGGCTATTTAACATGCTTGCAAAGCATTGCCAATCTAAAATGGCTGCTCAGTAATACTTTAATTGCAGTTTCATGGAAACAAATTGCTATTTAACTGCAATAAGCATTTCTGTGACTTGGCTGGACTAACAATAGGTGAGTCTTAGTAACAAAAACCAGGATGAACATTAACTTGTAAATGATCTGTTTCCAAGGGCCTGGCCTCTGAAACTGAGTGGAGAGGCAGCGAGCACCCAGGATGGGACTCCCCAGGGAAAGATTCTTCAGAAAATCACTTCTTAATTTCAATACAATTATTTCAGCTACATGGGAAATTCTTCACTGGGCTCCTGATAGCTAGCTTTTGTATTCACTGTGTTTGTTCTATAATTTATTGACCCTAAGAAATATTTTATATAACTAGTACAGCACATTAGAATCTTACTATATTGACATTTAAAGCCATTTAATTTAAGAGCTTCATTTTAGATGATTAGTTGTTTCAAATATCAATGTGAATAAGGGCAACAGAAAGAATTTAAATATAGTTAATATTAAGAGGCTGGCAATTTCACGGGCCTCATTTCAGAGTGACAGTTTTCTCATTTTGTATTTTATAAGACACACACTCCGTGTTAAACTATTTCCTAATAAACTGGGAAGAGCTAGTGATAGTTTCTTGTGGCAAAGGATTTGGTTTGGAAAGGCTTCAGACTCCCCCGCTTTGCAGGATGTATAAATCTAAGCAGACAGTTAGATAGGTTAAAAAAAATTGAACCCCTTTAGAGGACAATCTTTTTGCAAAATTGTTTCATTAGCAAGAGTCACAATTTGCATGATTGAGACATTTGTATGTATCATAAACATCATTTTTTTATCAGGAGTTCAGGGAGGCTCAATAACATTTGCTTTTATTTCTTTAATTGCACTTGCTTGTAAGGACCAGAACCCATCTTGCTCTGTGACGTGGCTAATAGTAAATCCTTTCTGAACAGCACACACATCTCACAGACATGACAAATGCAATGGATGAAAGGTGGGCATGCTCAGGGACTTTTTTTTTTTTTTTCCTTAGTGTTGGGGAGGAACCATACACAGTCACTGCTCACGTCAGAATAAACCTGAGTGTTTTTAGTAGCTTTCTAGCCACACAGAGCATCCCCGTGAGAGCTGGGTTTTATTGTCTGAAATGCCTCTGGTTTCAAGAAAGTGTTTTACCTAAAGCAAGACCACTACTTAAATATGTTCTATTGTATATTCACAGGTCCATTAGTCCTTCTCCAATTTAGCACATCAAAGAGAAGGCTTCATCACTTGCATGTGGATTATACTAACATGAGTGACATTTGTAATCTTATAGGTCTGCAACTTAAGAAATGCTTTTAGAAGCTCGTTATGAAATGGCCACAGTGCTTGAGGAGCCAGCCATATAATAGTTCATTTAAAGGCAGTAATGACCTTTGCCCTCCCCATCACTGAATGCCATACTGTATTACGAAAAGTTATTTGCCACGTCCTTTGAATTTCTAGACTATGAGACATGAGTGCTTTTGCTAAAAACATAGATGTCTGCACTCTGACAACACATCTCCCCCTTCGTCTTCATCTCCTGAAACAGACCAAAATCTTCTAGAAAATGTCTTTTAAAAAGAAAAAAAAAAGTAGTTGGGAATCCGAAGCTCGTTCGGAGTGACCCTGTACTGTCTGGAGCAGAGCTCTGAAGAAGCTATGCCACAGGGTTCCCCAGATTCAATGCCGAGGCCTCACATTTGCCTAGGGCACGAGGCTCTCAAGACTGACCCTGGGTATTGTAAACAAGGAACCAGTTCATAGGTTATTGTTATGGTTGTGTCATCAGAGGGAGCAGAGCCTGAGTTCCCTTTTCTAATTCCTTCAACACCTGACTGTGTGTATGTGTGGTGTGTCTGTGTGTGTCTGTGTGTATGTGTATTTCATCTCATGTTTTTTCCTTACATTTTCTTTTTATAAACCTCTGACAAAAGGATGCACTTTAACATTAAGCCTTTAAAGGAGGTTTGCAGTTCAGGGCCTGACTTTTCCTCCTGACTTCCTCCTGGCTTAGAAACTTGGAAAGCCGAAAGTTAGAAGTTCTGTTTAGCTCCTATGTGCTGACCTGCTCCCATTCTCAGACAGGGTCTGCATCAGGAGCTTTACTCAAAATCAAAGAAACGCCATTTTCAGAAAGCAGAATCGGCAACATCAGCACCCCGTGTGTTCCGCAGCCTGTGCGAGAAGCTGTAGCTGAGGTCTGCTCACATGTTAGCTGGCCTGGGGTGCAACCCTGGTACCCAGGCCCATTTGGCTCATCCTAGTTCCAGTAGTGACAGGGCAGCTACTGAGCTCAGGGATTGCCACACCTTTCCTGTCACCCTGGTAGGCAATCCAGGCACTTCTGTGGAGGCCTCTGCCAAAGACTATCAACTACCTCAAGAATACTGCTGACAGAAATCAGAATCCTCCCCCAACACACACACAGAAAGGCCGAGTCAGTAAAGAAGCATAAAGAACAAGAGAGGATTTCAGACAACACAACCCAAAAGTTCAGCAGGAAAGGGCTGTTCGGCCCTCGGAAGACCACTATGACCAGAGCACTCTGGAGCCCTTCGACTAATGGAACTTCAGATTACATACAGGTACCTTTAGAAATACTACTGCCTTCAAAAGCTGTAAACCTGATGAGAGATGATCGTGCTGTAGTTTTTAACATGCCTTTCATCAATACCAAAGGCTTTCCTATTGAGAAAAAAATAGCTGAAGAATTCAACTAGTATTCACGTATAATCACAAAGGCTACTGCGATGCGGATGTGAAGTGCTGTTAACAGGATACTCTGAACTTACAGAAAGGGACTCCACGAGAGTCACTGCTTTGTTCCCCTGCCAAAAATGGCATGGTTAAATAATTTGAAGACTACTTTATTGGCCCAGAGTAAAATCAATATAGGTATCACCTCCCTCACTCCTCAAATTTAAAGTAAATTTGTTATACATAGCAAAAAAAAAATCATCAATTCTTCCAAAATATGTAAGAGAAAATGCAGTGTTTAAACCCAAACTCCATTGAGTATTTTTTCTTTTAAGTTTTTATTATTTAAATACACCATACTAGAGCAAATGTCTCTGAAAATATCACAAATAAAAGATTTTTTTTTCTTCATTCAGCAAATTAGAAGTAGGGAGATTTCTACACAGCAGCTGCTATGAGCCTGATTTTTTTCCAATTTTTTTTTTCTCTTTTTAATCTTTGCCACGGGAATAGCAACATTAGGACGAAAACACTTACATGCATACATACATTGTATTTTACAGAGTTACAATAAAAGTGTTTGTGATAGAATATCACAAGAGCCACATCTCTTTCCTTTTAACTCATGTTCAGTTTGATTGAAACACATTTCCTTACAACACTTAAATATACAAAGAGCAAACAGACTGTTGTTAAGGTAAAACACAGGGTACACACTCTGGCCGGTGCCCTGCTAATTGTTAATGAGGGTAGAAAGCAGATTTGAATGCTTCTTTTAATTAGCTTCATTAGTCATTTCCCTCCCCCCAAGCTCCCTCCCCCCCAAACATGTCCTCCGGTGGATCTTTATTCATTTTCGTTACAGTCTCCCATTAGCCCAGGTTCATGGAGTCCTTAATGTTCGTATTCAGTCATTTTAATACACCAATAAATGCAGGAAGGGCAATCAAGACTAAAGAAGGTGCAATGGCATGGAGCTGGCACTGGAGCTGGCTACAAAGGTGACTCGTCTACTGAAGACACATGGGGTCCACCTGTGATGAACAAAATCTGAGATGAAGGCACGCATTCTGCATTACTCTGACCTTTTAGCAGACCTGCAAGAAATAAAAACGGGCATCTTAGCTAACATGCTAAATTTGAGGGGTATTAAACACAAACACCACAGCTTTTGTCGCCTCTACACTCACTAATCTTCTTTTATTAGATTACTTTCCAACTGTGACTTGATGGAGGCTCTCAGAGAGCCTTACTCGGCAGTGAGGGGCTAAAGCAGGGCACATTCTACTAGCAGAGAAAATGAGGTGGGAAGTGGACTTGGGGAAAGTTTCTGGTGTCTCATTCTATAGAATCCTTGAACTCTGTTAAAACACGTTTCTCTCCAAAAGGACTGAAGTATAAGGTCTTGCCTAGTAGTGAGATGTTGAACTTTTTAAAATCATGGAGCCATTCAGAGCAAAGTCCCTGTCCAAAAAGTTTTGCAACTCATGGACTTGATGGCATCACCGGGCAAATGACTTAAATGACCTGTGCCTCAGTTTCCTCTCCTCCAAAGTAGAAAGCAAAGTTGTTACTACAAAAGGATAACAAAATTACTTAGTATCAAGGGAATACTTTCAGCAACATGTGACCCTTAATAAAAGCTCAGTGAACTCCAGCAATACCACTGTTTAACTCTGTTGCCCCAAGTGACATCTCTTCTGTCACCTTGGTCTTTCCCTCTAGGGGTATGGGCATGAAAAATTCTGTGTTCAAATATCCAAGTTTTTTTTTTTTTCGCCAAATATCATCTACCTATGTCACTTAATGCTACATACTTATCATAGGCACATGAATCCATACAATGTGCCTAAGTCTTGAGACAGACTGAAGAATATCCATCAACGTTAGATCCAACTTCAACATCTTAAGTCACGAATGGTGATGCATAGCCGTTAAATACAATCTGTTTGCAATTACCAAAATGAAATAACGTACAATGCGTTTTTTATGTTTTTGTTTTGTTTTTTAAAATGACATTCGGAGCTTCACAGGAAGTTCTCGTTTTGCCCCATCCCTAACTTACTGAAGGCCTAAAGTCTATTAGGAACTGCAACCCCCCACTTCCAAGCTAATTAAAGTGTTGGAGGCTTAATTCCCCAGAGTGGAAGCTCAGTGTGAGAAAGGTAATTTGTCTGTCCAGAACAAAGATGCACCAGCAGCCAGCAAGCATATTTAATAAATGAGCATCAAATGTCCTCTACAATGGACGCACACAACACCAATTATGTAACTATGGGGAACTGCAAAGTGATATATAAACTAGAGGGCTGACTAAATCTTCCTCTGACTAAAGTGCTGTGCTCTGTCTCTTATTTTACTGAAACGCACAGAAGAATCTAGATGGCCTCAATATATTTTTGAATGGAAAAAAGAATTGCAGAATAGGGAGAAATCTACAAAGGGAAAAATGAGCCACAATATCTGATTTTCTTAATATTCTAGAGAGCAACGTGCTCTTGAGGCTGGCCAAGGCCCTTCAAATGACATAGGCTATGAAATCCTGTAACTCCACAAACACCAGTGGACCCAAACTTTAGTCAACCTGAGATTTCAATCACTGTGTGCCTGAAAAGGTTAAAATTATTTCTCTCAGAATATACAAAAGCCAATGACGCAGAATAACTGAACTGTACATCCCTAACACTGCACACAAACTTCAGAAGAACAAAAAGGGTTATTTAAAGGGGCCAGATGATGGGGGTCGATACTTCCCATAAAATTACTTGCCATTAAAAAAGGTTGGACAGTCAACCCATTATTTTTAAGAAAGAGGATGCTCAAATATATTTACTAATACATCATGCACTCAAAATGTAATTGGTTTTGTGAATAGAAGGAAAATGGCCAAAATAAATATCCAATTTTCTCAACCCCAAAACAAGGAGAATGAGAGAAAAGAAAATAATAAAATAGAACTATTTGTCATCTCTCCTCATCTCATCTCCCATAGAAAAGAAACGCCACAGGGTTTGGGGAAAATAATTTTAAAGCATTCTCCAGGCCCAAAAAAGCAGTTCATGTTCCACCAGGAAGTGTGTTTTCATTAACTCTGCGCCCCCCCGCCCCGCCCTCCCATTAATATCTCTCTGGACCACGTTCAGCCTGCCCAAAACCTTTTATTTACAAAAACCACCTTGTGAATTGACTGTGTTCATGGTGAGCAGAGCACCAAGGGCAAAATGTGAGATATTCATGCCAACAGGGAAATGTGCTTAATTAACATCACCCCCCAAAACACAGCATCTCACCAGTGCCTGACAAGAACATTTCCTTAAGTTTGATTTCCTTATGCCTTTTAAGTGCAATTAATTTTTGAAAACAACTTCTCTCTCTCTCTCTCTCTCTCTCTCTCTCTCTCTCTCTCTCTCTCCCTCCCTCCCTCCCTCTCTGGGGGTGGGGACTCCCAACATCAAGAAAACATAAACTAGTAGGTTCTTAGTCACTGCCTACACTATATTTTGTGTTCCAATATGAACACTCTACAACTTCCATCCTAAACAGCATGTATGGCAGAGTGCATAGGGTTTGGTGGGGAGGATAGGGGAAGGTATGGATGGGGGAGGGGGGTCCTGGATTTGAGTGGAAAATAATGTATAAAATTTAAAAAGCTCAATTAAAAAAAAAAAAAAAGGATAAAAGCCTCCAATGAAGGGCCCAACACCCCAACAACATAATCTTAAAAAAGACAACTTTTCCAGCTTCCTGAAACCTCTACTTTTGCATCTTCTACTCAACAGGGAGTGGCTGGTTCCCTGGCATGGCTCTTCTGCATATTCAGCCTTCACAATCTAGCACCCCTTCCATCTTCTCTCTCTGTCCTCCAGTTCTTACTGCTCATGTTGGGGTAAGCTGTAACAATTTTTACCACGCATGTTGGGGTAAGCTGCAATGATTTTTAAAAATATTTTACTAAGCTAGGAAATGGTACAAAACCAGCAACACAGCAAGTTAGGACATAACTTGGAAGGAAACTAAGCTTTTACATTCTAAAAAGAAGGGTTTTACCCTCTTATTTATAACACTGCTGTTTCTTTGTTTTTGTTACTAAATGTAATTACAGATGGCCTTGCCTCTCCTAAATGGGTATCTCAAAATATTTAGGTCACCCATTCTGTAATCTCAATTTTGTCCTATAGACTGACTTCATTAAAATTCAAACCATAAAAATCTGTAAGTCCTTCTGGTCAATGGTACTCCTTAAAGAAGCTTGTTTATATCATGTGAGGTGACTGGCTTAATTGCAATTAAAAAAGAAAACAAAAAACACAGATTCTGATTCTTAAAATGGTTATTCTGTGTAGCCTCCCCTATTAGTAGATTAAATAAAACTGCACAATTTTGTTAATTAATACTTACTAAATAAAGAAAACACTGTAAATTACTCCATAAACTTGAGCGAGGGCAAAGGACAAATATAAGCTTTATATTATACAGCAGCATAATTTTAAATAGTTAAAAATTTCCAAATGTCTGTTATTTTTCACACAGAGCAATAAGAAAATGTATCGCAAAAGACAAAGAGCCCTAATATTTTTACCCCGAGACTTCTAAAGCTTGCTAAATTCCTATTAGCAGATAAATGTTGTGGGGGGGGGGGGTGGTTTTTTTGGGGGGTTTTTTTTTTTGTTGTTCTTTACACAAAACTTTATTAAAGTTCTTTTTTTAATTCTAAAAGAATTTCCAAAGGAAGGGGTCATTTTTTTTTTTTAAGCA